ACCAGACTGTACTGCGTCCTGTAACAGTGTGACCAGACTGTACTGAATCCTGTAACATCTCACTGCCAGTTCATTCTCAGGTTGGCCACATTCAGTGCAGAACTTACACCTTTGGGTTGTTTGTTTGTTTGTTTGTTTGTTTGAATCACACTACTATTTTATCAAAACAGAGTAAAAATATTCTAGATAATGTAATTTTCCATTTGAGCGCTAAAATTTCCAGCATGTGGTAAAATAAGGGATAATTTTATTTTATTGTTGACTGAGCCTGTATTCAGTCTGGCCCAGTTCTTGATCCATTGGTATTGGGTTTTTGCAGCCAGCCCCCTGTAGCTGTCCCCAGAGCATCACCTGAACAGCTGCTTTTGACAGTGGCACATCTGTCTCTGGGTTTCTTCCTCTTACCTTTTTATCATTCAGTCTTAGCAGTGCATGTGTTGATCGATTTACTGTGGATTACTTGAGGTTCCTGCAAGGCGTAGCTTGTGGCTTCTTCAGGGAAAGAATTCCTGCTTTAATTGTTGACCATGCTTCTAAGACAGTGTAAAGAATTTTTTGGAATATTTATTTTAAAACTCATTAGACTTTAGTATATTTTGCATAATTTTACAGTATTAATTTCTTTTTTGTTGTTTTTTCTGCATTTAGTTAAAAAATCTAAGTTTGGAGGAACTACAGATGCGGCTGAAAGCCCTGGACCCCATGATGGAGCAGGAGATTGAAGAACTGCACCAAAGATACAGTGCGAAGAGGCAGCCCATCCTGGACGCCATGGACGCGAAGAAGAGGCGGCAGCAGAACTTCTGACCCGTCCATCAGTGTGAGCGGAGACCAAGCAGCCCCGGAACTGAAGGACTGTACTCCTTTTTAATCCCTAAATGTATGTTCTACAGTTTTGCAAAAGTCAAAAACTAATGATGGTACACACCTAGATAAATTCCTGAAGGCAAACTTTACAGTTGCATCCACTCTGACTTCATTTTGAAAGGATGAGGACGATAGGTAGCTCTTTCTGCCAGCTCTTCCACCAGCAACCGAACCAGTCCAAGAGCAGAGCTGCTGCTCTATGGCGCCGTACTGGAGGGCTTTATGTTACAGTGTTCCTTATTCCTATGGAGAAGCCTATTTATTGTACCCCTAGGTAGACTTATTTATTTATGCAGTTTCACTTTTTGTTTTTGAAAGACAAGATCAGGATAGTTTTGGTGAATATCCGGACACATTGACAGATGATAATATACAACTAAATTGTACATGAAGCAGGGAGCTATAGGTGTGTTCCTTCATCTCCAATACAAACAGAGCAGCAAGGGCAATAATATCAAATGGACCAGACATTTTTATACTGAAGACTTAATTCCATTTCTCCCCTTTGAAGTGTTAATTCTTGACTTTAATATTGGTACAAATAAGGCTATATATATGTAGGTCAGACAGAATTATACCATGTAAGACCAAAGAAATCAATGAATCCTTGCACAAAAAAAGGTGTGGGAAATACTTTTTAAAGAACTGAAACCTGAGAAGACAATGTAATGGTTAACATTTCCTGTATTGGTCCGCAGTAATCTCATCAAATTTACTCTGCGAAAATTGCTTTTGTCATAGGACTTTTTGTTGATTTCACTTATTTCCTGGGAGTTGATAGGTATCATGTATCTGACAATAACAAAACAGGAAAAATGTTTGTACTTAACTGGGTGTCCTTGGGGCCTGAAAAAAAAACCAAACAAAACAGATTTAAGCTAGAAAGAGACTCGTTTCTGAGCGGAATTACCGCTTGTGTAACTGAACCGGGACCATCCTTTCCTGCGCTACACACGGCCATTTTGAGTGTGTGTTCCTTATGTGTTGATTACTATGTGTACATCATGAAGACAAATAAATTCCATTGTGCCACCCATACATTTCATCTTTTTTTTCCCAAGCTTGTGGCCTGGACTCTGTCAGGCAAGTCAGGCTGTATGACTCATTAGTGGTGACGCGAAACTTCGGTGGCTTTGTAGCTCAGGTTGTTCCTCTCAGACCCCAGGCCACCATGCTCTGGCAGGATGCTCCCTCCTGTCAGCCCCACCGCGGGATACAGAGGTTACAGCTGTGCTTGCCACAGGGAAGGAGCTCTGACACCGTCACACTCACTTCAACCAGCAACAACCCCAGTGGGTGCAAGAGCTGTCCCCGGGGTCGGGACGGGGTGGCTGTCCTCTGAGGCTGACGTTGACCACAGAAGGCAGGTTACCTAGAGAGAGCTTCTATTCATTTTAAAACAGTGTTGTGCCCAAGGCCATGCCTTGAAGAGACATTTGTTTTTGTTCTGTTGAATCCTTATAAATAGCATGTTGTATAATTGCATATCAATTATAAAACTGAAAATAAGATGGCTAAAACTAACAAGACTTACTTTGTGCATGCCAGTTGATATTTAATACGTTAGAAAGCCATGTTTTCACTGATGCAGCTCATCTTTATTGGAGTCCACTGGGGACAGTCAGACATGCTCTAGCTCACACAGTGTCCAGGTTTCCTTCCTTAATGGTCTTTCTTGTCACCAACCTAACCCTGGTGGAATCAAATGACTCATCTCTGCCACCCAAGCAAAAGCACCTGCTTGAAATGACAGAAACTATCCGAGATGACTTCTGCCCACCTGACTGAATGAGACTGTTAGCCGCTTGTACTTCCTGTGTGCCTGAGCCATGAGACTGTTAGCCACTTGTACTTCCTGTGTTGCCTGAGTCATGAGACTCTTGGCCGCTTGTACTTCCTGTGTGCCTGAGTCAGGACAAGGGCTCCCCTTTAGTAATGTCACATTCTAATTACTGTGAATACTTCTGCACCCTGTTATTATATCTACATCTATTTACACACACACACACACACACACACACACACACTTGTTTTTTTGAGACAGGGTTTCTCTGTGTATCCCTGACTGACCTGGAACTCACTTTGTAGACCAGGCTGGCCTTGAACTCACAGAAATCCACCTGCCTCTGCCTCCCAAGTGCTGGGACTAAAGGTGTGCCCACCATACCTGGCTCATACACATATATTTTAAGGGAATTAAGAGCAATGAGTATCATTTTACCCTAGAGCTGTGTTAAATGAGTCAAAACATTTTAGCATAATGATCTTAAAGTTTTCCTGTCTCCTCCCTCCCTACCCCTGTTCTCATGCTACAAAAAACTGAAGTGTTGAAGAATGATGAGCCGTGAAAGAAACCTTTAAGTCTAGTTGAGCCTAATGAATCACAGAGCTCAGGAAAAGGATTTTCTAGCTATTTTTGAGTTTAAGAAGAAACCTTTTATTTGACCCTCCCTGCTGAGAACTTCCAAAAATAAGTAAGCATACCGTCTGCACAGCCATCCTTTAACAGATACTGTGAGTGCACGAGGCTGATGAGTCTTCATCAGGAGAAGCTGGCTGTCCTGTATGGTGAGGGGAGAGTGCTTTGTGTTTGATTTACTGAACTTAGATAGTTCACAGTTACAGCTATCACAGCTTGTTTTAACATAAACAGTTCTATGTTCAAAATATGGGCTATGACTTTAGCCCATATAAATTGGAGAAGAAAACAGACTTAAGGGACTTGAGGAGCCTGACCCCTGTTACTTGGGACCCTTACAGTGTCGGGTGCTGTGCTGGACAGGGTCACTTTTCTGTCTCTTCTGCTCATTTACTGAATCACATCCCAGGGTTTGAAGCCGTGCACTGCTCACTGCCGGGAACGTCACTTTCAACAAACATTATATAATACATTAATGGGATGTTTTTAACTTAGTCACAGGAAATCTTACCAAATTACTGACACATTTATATTCAGTAGAAATGCTATTTTTGTTTCTTTCCTATTTTAATGTTAAAAATCAATGATTAAATTCTAAAAATACTGCTATTCTAAATAGAATTCTTTAACTACTTGGGATTACTGAACTGTTATTATTAGGCACAGGCACTTAATTAGCTGTTTCATCAGAATGCTCTTTTGGAGTGTCAGTTGTCCCTTTTTGGCACAGACTAGGAACTGGAGCTAATGAATATTGTGTTTCTTTGTTCATTGATGTGATGAAACCTGGACTCAAGGAACTCTTATATATCTTAGTTGGGGACTCTGTCTAAGGGTGACTTGGGCCCCGAAGCCTGAGTCCACTGTCCCCTTTTTCACACCCACACCAACACTTGACTTCAGCCATCCCTTCCCTGATGGCTTTCTTCGTCACAAAGACAAGCCGACTGTTTCTGCTTGCTTTCCGCTCACAGTGGGCAGTCCCAGCTCTTCTCACCACTCCTCCTGCCACCTGATTGAGGTCCCCAAGTCTGGGCTCACAGAATACCGACTGCCAAGTTGAGCGAATTTGGCTTCCTGGTGTTCAGGCCTCAGCATGGCTCAGCTGACATTGTGACCTCACCTTTCATTATTGCTTTATTTGTTACCATAATTGTTTCCTTTACCTTCATTTCAGGTTGTAAAAAGTCTGTCAAGTTTATTGACCATGTTTCTCTGTGGTGCTTCTCGGTATACTGGCTAGGAAGCACTGGGTATTAGATGTAATGGGTTTCATTGTATGCAGTACTCATCGTTTATAGGTTGTCTCTACAGCAACCAAAATGTCAGCCATGTTCGAGCTCTATTAAGACCTGTCCTTGATGTATTAGCTCGGCACTTTTCACACAGGATGTGTGTTCTTTCTAATGAAAAAGCAAAGGAAGACTGGAAGAAATGTGGAAGCGAAGTCACAGCCGATTAATGCCAGTGTGGCCCTGAGCTTCTGTGGGTCACCTCCAAGCCACCTTCTCACTGGACCACACTGTAACAAACACAGGATGCCTGGCTCTAGACTACTGACAGTGTCATCAAGCCTCAAGACTTAGGATCAGCCGGGCGGTGGTGGCGCACGCCTTTAATCCCAGCACTCGGAAGGCAGAGCCAGGTGGATCTCTGTGAGTTCGAGGCCAGCCTGGTCTCCAAAGTGAGATCCAGGAAAGGCGCAAAGCTACACAGAGAAACCCTGTCTCGGAAAAAAAAAAAAAAAAAGACTTAGGATCAGTGTGAGCTGATTATTACCATTTTTGCCTTTCAATAAAACCTCCATTTTCTGAAATGGTATTCTTTCTATATGGGGAGTGGGATTGTGGGTACCAAGCTTCTTTCAGTTACCAGGATGCAGGCAGCGTCTGTTTGCCTTGGTTGCCATGCTGCTCTGGAAGATGCCCTGTGTCCTCCTCTCCCCCTTACCAGCTGCCCTGGGGCAGCACTTTGGAGAAGCATTAAGGTGGTAAAAGGATCCTGACATGAGCCGTTAAATGCTCTGAGTTCAAATATCAGTTCTTCCTTTGTTGTCCTAGGCAAAAATAACCACTAGACCACGCAGTGTTTAAATGCATTTGTAGCTGGAGGGATGGTTCAGTGGTTAAGAGCATGTGCTGCTCTTCAGAGGACCCAGGTTCAATTCCCAGCACCCACATGATAGTTAACAATATATCTAACTCCAATCACAAGGTATCTAAGACCCTCTTCTGACCTCCATGAGCACTGAATACATGTGATGTACAGACACATGCAGGCAAAGCACTTGAACACATAAAAATCTCAGAAATAAGTTTTTAATAATGCAGCAATTTCAATGAGCAAATGCTCCAATGTCTATCAAATGTTTAGCAAAGTCCCTGGCATTATATAAATGGGTATTAATAAATTAATAATTTATTAATAATAATATTAATAAATTAGCTTAGAATCAGTTTCCAGCCCACTTCGGCCTCATTTTCATGCACTGTTTTGCAGAAATAAAAAGGGGAGTCTGTTGATTGAAAACCAAATGTATTGTTTTCCAAAATGAATTAGAGTCTCCTAGAACCCAAGTAGGCTTTCTCTTAAGAGCTGGCTCTGTTCTTGGGTAGGAATTTGTATGAGGAAACACTATCATTCTTTTGTTAAATGCATTTCCTTTACACAGGAAGCATTTGTCTTAAGCTTAAAGCTCATATACTCTAGGACTATTTTCTGTTTGTAGGGATTATTGTTGAGGCAGCTTCAATAGCCTGATCCTGAAGAACCATCTGGAAATTCTCATTTATTCCCCTAAAAGGTTTTTCTTAGCAAGTCTTAGTATCCTTGGGTTCCTGCAGATATGACACATGTCATTGATTTGCTCTCCATTGATTTACTTCAGTTCCGGGAAGCTCAAAGTCAAGTTTGTATCTGGAGGGCCTCATAAGATCCTATGATGTGCATAGCTACATTTCCATGATTATATTTATGGAAATGAAAAATACTTTTTAAGGGACATATCTGTAAGTGTATGTTGCTTTTTATACTTAGAAGAATTGGGTTCTATACTGTATGCAATCTTCATATTTTTATAGGATTCTTGAGCATTCTTTGTTTATGTCCTGGACCCAAAACACTGCTGGTTCTCTGTGTGAGTGCATATCATCTGAGGAAGGAGAATGCTAGGGTGTAAGATACCAGAGACAGCTCACACCTGGGCTTCCTCTTCTGGAAGGAACACCATAGTCCCCTCACTCACATCACAGTTACATAAGAACTCACCCAGGCTGATGAGGCAGACGCCTTAAGCCCAGTCCAGCTAACAGGTCAGACTCCCTTAAAGCTTGTTTAGATAGGTAGGTAGAAAGGTAGGTAGATAGAGATAGATGATAGATAGATAGATAGATAGATAGATAGATAGATAGATAGATAGATAGATAGATAGATAATATTTTTAGTACTAAGGGTTGAACCTAGGACTTCACACATGCTAGGCAATCACTCTTAATCCTTCCCTATATTTTAAGTCCCCTTTTCCCTTTTATACTCTTATTTCTATTTCATATTATTAATGGAAATAGAAGGATATAAAGAATAAAAAGGAGGAAGGTGAAAGGAAATGCTCTTTGCAG